ACTTGAGAAGCTACACACAGTGAAAACTATCAAAAGCCGTTTTAGACAAAGGCATCAGAAATGCATGCAAAAGTTCCCTTTCCTGTTTCTTGAAGTGCATGCCATGAGAAATGAGACCTTCTGCATTAACTTCTTCCTATGTACAAGACAACGCTCGTGTACCTCAGACTGGCACAAGTCCATAGCGTCCCATGCACTCGGCAGTGCACCACTTCCTTGTTTAACTCAGCTTGCTTGTCAGGTTGCAGCACTATCCTCAGAGTCCACAACCATGTGGTACAGTGGAAAGACTACGTTGTTAAAAATTTTATTCAGCCAGCTACAGCAATTACTTTTTGTTTCCTAAGTATTTTTAAAATAAATATTTACATGGCGATCTGTCCTAAAGACTCATTATCCCCAACAGCTAATTAAGACAGCCTGGAACTAAGTAGATTGAGCTATATCTGATGTCTTTAAAAACTAACAGTTCCTGTGCCTTCCCTAGATTCAAATAACAATTCTTGTTAAGACTGTCTTATTTTATAACTTACCAACTTTTGGTGCAGACAGGAGACCTGCAACTCTTAGTTATTGCTGAGGAATGGCTTATACTAAACCCTTCCTTTCCACACTTTCCTTGCTCCATTAGTACCTTATCACAGAAACTTACTATTCATACAGGAAGAATCCTAGTACAGAGGTAAACACCATATTTGTAAAGTATTGCAGAGCAGATCAACAGCTATATGCCTTATTGTATGATTTTGTTTTCAAAACCAAAAATTTACTTAAGGTAACTGTTCATTTTTATCACAGGTAAAAATAATCAAACAGTAATAAAATAATAACAAAAAAAGCAGTAAACACACCTACACTGCTGAAGTTTCACCAAAAGTATCTGAATTACATCATCTTCTCTCATGCTATCAATTGCTATAGTTGAGGACAGTTAATGAGACTTGAAACCCATGCAGCTCACAAGTCCCTTTCATCTCTTAGCGTGTACCAAGTTTCTGGAAACAAAACATCCTTCTTCACTCTGCATCTGCCACCTGCCAAATTGGAATACGGGTGTGTAAGGGAGGCATAGTGTTGCCAAGATAAAAGTTCTAAAAGTATGTATCTATAGTCTGTCTTTATTTCAACATTATGTTAAAGGACCTAATATTAATGATCTAATTAAGGTAATTTTTCTATTATGCTGGAGGATATCAGGAAGTGGTAAAAGTCAAGTTAATGTCAAGTGAAAGATACCCATGACTGTCCATACAAAAAGCTTCTGACAGTTTAATCAATCCCAGTTCCAAAGTGTTTATGAGAATACTCTAGATTACATTTTCTGGAAGGACAGGAAAAGGGCAGAACCAGACCCTGCCTCCCCACCCCCCAAAGCCCTGAGCATGCTTCAGCCATTACTCACTTATGCTGCCTCTCCTGAAATCATTCTTCCCAGTCACTTCTCTCTCACAGGATGACAGCACAAGATTGGGAAGAAAGAAGCAGGCTGAGGTGCCAAGTGGCCAAACAAACAGGAATTCCCATTCTAAAGTTTCAGCACTTACCTCTGAACAACTATGGGGCAGGTGAGCACCTATAATACCTGAGCTCATTACCACAAGTGGAGAAGAAAAAGCATGGGAGAAAAGAAGGCAAGGACTGAATTAGCTTCTTTTTTTTTAACAGTCCATCAAAGGTCATCTTTTTAATAAGCATTTCACAGCCCACTTAAAGACTTCCTTAAAAATAAGTTCCCATTGTAATTGAATACATTCAAGTTGTTTCTCATTGTTATTTCTCAGACTTGTGATTTCTACACATAAGTATACATATTACATATATTTATATATACATTTCTGCAACAAGTCAGTTTGTCAGAAAGGACAGTTCTGAGTGTGGATTTTGTACAAAAAGCATCACTTTTCCTAAACAAGGAACTCTGCATTATCCTGATCAATTCTTAGTTCTACCTTATATTCTTCCCCTTTTTGGACTCACCTTTTCCTCCTGCTACCACTACAAATATATTTTAACATCCTACAGCTTGAAAACCTTTCCCATTATTTATTCATTATTTCCCTTTCCCTGAATTTCTCTAACCACTGTTGATCATCTCTAGAGTTTTGCTCTTAGTGCTTTCCAATCTCTGCTATCATGCCACCAACCAATTTGTGAAGTTATGAATACCGACTTAGAGCAAGCAGGTGAAAAACATGAAGTAGGCAACCTTAGTAATGTTCATGAATGAGAGAAACACATACATAGCAAAGCAGTAACTATCACATTGGATGATGACATGGGTGAATAGCAACAGTTTTGCAAGTACTCATTAGGGAATGGCAGAGCACAAATGAAGTACTTTGAAATGGTGCTTACAGAAGAATAAACTTTATTTAGAGCAAGATAGAACTATTAACTAGCTTCTCGCTATAAAGCGGGTTTTGAAGCAAGTGACCTTATTAGATTAAGACCAAAGATGTAAAGATTAAGTTAATGCTACCACACTGGACATTAAGTAAACAGAAGACTAGGAAACCAAAGCCACATGGAAGTCAATCAATACCAAACACGAAATAGCTAATAATGGGAAGAGAACAGAATATTGTCAAATTCAGAAGCCAGAAACATTAATTAGAACAAGTGAAAAAGAAATACACACTGGTGAAATAATACAAGTGAACAGATTAGAAGGAAGATGATACGAGAAGAACAGTATGAGCTACAGCTGTATTTGAAAAACTAATATCTGCAAGGCAAAATATTTTGGTATCAATAAAAACCAGAACAACTGTTGATATTATGGTATATGGACCTCATTGCTGGAATATGAAAAATTCTGATAAAAAAATAGCAGAGATGAGCTAGCTGAGAGGAACATTAAGGAATTCAGAAATGCAAAACAGATAGACATCACAACAATACAAAATCTTCTCTTTCATTGTTGCTGAATGATAGAAGTGAAAGAGTAGCAAAAGCATCAAATTCCAAGCTCATTCTCAGACTGTGCACAGCTAATTGTACTCATCTTTTGCTTTTCCTTCTATTGCCCTGCACTATCTTTTCTAGAAGATGGTCATTCCCCTTTCAACTTTTCTTCAGTGACTCCAAAGGAGTCTCTTCACCCCCCCATCTTTCTCTTCTTTGTACCTCACCTACAGATGATCCGATTTACACACAAAGAAATCAACTTTTCTACAAACTTTAGGCTGACAACTCTGATTTTTTTTCCTCATGCATTACATTTTTCTGACCAAACTAGGATCTCAATAGATCTGACACCTCCACGTGGGTGTTTAGCCATCAGCTTAAGCTCAGCATCGACTAAATACAATTCACCATCCTAAACCCTTTTCTCCATTTACAGAAAATACCATTTTCTGCCATCATCCCCTTAACTGCAGTGTTACTTTTCATTCAGGCAGATGTGAGGGAACTAGAGAAGTGACACAATTTAAAACCTGAAAATGTTACCTGCATAGCACTTGCAAGATTCATCCTCTTCCCTGTGTGCACAGAACTGATGCTCCTGTCCAGTTCATCCTCATCACTGTGTTCTGACTACTGCTCCGTCTCCAGCCTTGGCATGTTCCATCTCAATTCACCAATTTCCTTTTAAAATATAACACTAGAGATCACTTTAGTAGGATGTTTCAAAGACAGGACCATTTTTCTGTTTATTCACTTATCTTTCCCCCCACTCCCTAGACAAACTGCTTGTCTTCACCTTCAAGGCCTTTTTCGGTTTATTTCTGTCTTCATGTTAAATCAAAATATTGACTTTATTTCACATAGCACACAGAGATTTTTCAAAATTCCTTTGTAAGCTCACTCAAAATGCCTGTTATGCATAGAAAAGCATAGTTTTTATTCAAAATTCCTCTTGAAATTTTTGTTGAGAACAATGATTTGAAAAGTACTTTGTTAGGATGATTATTTTACAATTCTGACCAGTAATGTGCCATTATTTCTTTGCTGTCTTGTTCATGTGATGCTTACATTTTTAGAATGGTCTCAATAGACTTCACCTACCTAAATACTACTGTAATACAAATAATACATAATGGAAAAATATTAAATCTGATACATATAGAAATGGTTCTAAATCAGTGACCACAACAACGTTGAATTACATATATTTACACACATGCATACATACAATGATCAAGTCATACCAAACTGAAATTGTTACGTACAGCAACATTTGTATTTTTTCCTTTAGACACTCCATTACTACATACAATGAAATTCACATAAAATGAAAGGCATTTGTAGGTGTGCTTTAATTACTACTCTAGCTGTATCTTCAGCAGCACTATTGCAGCATTTTCCAGTACATGACACCTTGTAACAAAGCATCCCTCAAGCATAGCTGAACACTAATTAGTGTCTACGTGCAGGGCAAGTGTCTCCAGGACAGTAACAGGAAAGCTAGAGTTAGAGAAACAATGGATGGGAGGATGCCACCAAGGATGTACTTCACAAGAATACAGAATCAAAACTCATTCTTCTCTCTCAAAAATACACACATTTAATGTTGGTCTTTTAATTCTAAGAAAAAAGCAATTCCAAAAATACAAACTGAACATCAGAGTCAAGTCAACCACCTTAATAAAATGAAATGACATTCACAATAGTTAAGTCCATGGACAACTTAAGTTTGACAAATATTTTCTCCCCACCCCCAAGTCCCCAAGTACATTCCAATATTTATCTTTAAATGAAACTTTATGAAAAATACTGCTGGTGTTCAGTTAGAATTAAAGGACTTGGATAAAGTGAAACAATAAAGACAGATACAGATGGTACGAGTAAGGTTACAAAGGCTTTACATTTTGCATTATCCCAAGATATAAACATTCAAAAATTAACATAAAGTTGCTGTGTTATCAAAATATTGCAGCTATAGGCAAGGCAACATTAAATTAATAGCTGAGGGTGTGAGGAAAAAAAACCCACACATTTTAGTGAAGGTAAACAGAAGTGGCAGTTTTTAATTAGCATTTTTATAAAGCTAATATTACCCGGCCAGCCATAAACCAAGCACAGGTTTAAAAAGATATCTCTGCTTCCTTTGGCTATAAGGTGACAGAAAAAAAAAAAAAAAAATTTAAAAAAATCACCTTTTCAAGTTGTTCAAGATGAGCAGAAAAAGTCATATAATCAAGTAATGGAATAAAAAAGTACTAACCCAGGCAGTACACTTTAAACCACTCTGTCATTTTTAAGTGTTACATAATTTTATTTTGGTGGTAAACTATAAGCATATAAGAAAACTAACCTTATGCACTACAGTGAATAACCACCAAAGTAAAAATATTCTTCTGTTTACTCTTTGGCTAAAATTCCCTCAAAAGTAGCAGACAAAGAAAAAACGTCTAATACTGGCAAGAGACTTTTTCGACTTTTTTTTTTTTAAACAAGGAAAATAAACTTATCAATTTAAAAGTTGGTACATTTTATAAAAACAAAAGAGGTAATGTTGTAATAAAATCAGTAACGTTACTTCAAATGGCAACAAACCGTTTGTTGACCCTGTGCAATAATACACTTTGTTCATACTACATTTATCAAAATATGACTGTTTCTACAGATATGTAGGAATCCTGTGTGTGACTCCTGTCAACTTAGTTTATAACTGGGACACAAAATTTACAATCAGTGTGCCACAATAACTTTCATATTGTTATTCCTAGTAGAGTTAACTTCCAAATGTTCAGATCCTGCATTAAATTTTAACAGTTAATTCACATGGAAAATAATGGAATATATTACCTAGAACATACGAACATCAATGACTGCACCCATTGCCAGAACACGCTGCACTGGTTTGACACTTTTCCTTAGTACACAGAAAGCAACAGCACCCAATAAGCCTGAGAAGAAATGCTGCTGTGTAAATACTGGCAACTATTCCTGAAAAAAGAATTATGGGATGTTTTCTCAGAAGCTGCCCGATCCCATAATTTGTATTGCATAGGTCACAATCACACATATATATATACACGCACAACTATGTGTGTGCATATATACATATGTATATACACACACACACATGCGCGCACACACACACACACAGAATATATTAAGAAGACAATGAAGTCTGGTCACAGAGCAATTTACAGGCTCAATATATTTTTTTCTTTTTTTTTTTTTTACACTTTGTTTGAAAGAAAACTTCAGTATTTTACAGTCTTCAGTAGGCATTATATACACTGCACTTATGAAATCTAGAAAGTATTGAAATAGAAATACATTTCTGCAAACATTTGGGTAAGAAAACAAACCAAAATTTTCAAATATTTGTGCTATCTACATAATATTTTCTCTAAATCACAATAACTGTATCCATGGAATGTTCTCTAGAAAATGTCTTTTTTTTTTTTAAACACCATGCACATTTTTAAGCAATTGTAACCCAAAATATCCCAACCTAAAACAATCTAACAATGTTCAGATTAAAAAAATTTAAGTTTCAGATCAGGTTTTAAAAAGATAAGTCTTTATCACAAGAACTGTAATGATAACAATTACATGTTAAGGCTAAACTGGTTTTGTTTTGTTTTTAGAAACACACTTAAAGACACATTTCTGTCGTGGCTCTGCATTATGAACTGTACTTACAGATGACAGTGCAGTGAACATAATGTTCAGTCCTACAGTCAGGATGCAGTTGCTCCTTCCCACTCCACAAGATACTGCACCTTTCCATCAAGTGTCACCCGACGAGCCAAAACACGGTATTTTTCCCCACAAGCTATTCTACCTGCTGCACCAAAATAACTAGTAATAGAGTTCTTTAGATGATTGAGCTGTAACTCCTGATCTGCTAAGTTGTTAAGTATCTCTGTATTGAGTTCATCATACTGGTAATCTTCTTTGCTCTCATCATCTTTTACAATTTCTGAATTTTGAGTCTGGAGTGCTTTTCGTGGAAAGCGACCTCTTCTTCTCAAATGTGGTATTGCAGCAGGCCAAGTTCTTCCTGTACGAGTCCTTTTTCTCGAGTCGGATAAACTATTAAAAAAAAAAAAGCGGTAACTCCAAGAAACTTATTCAAAACGTATGCTTTATCATCAGTTATTTCCTATCATAACTTCTTTGTTCTATTTTTCACTGTAAAATATTTGTTGCCTACAGATTACTATAAATATGGCACTTGCAAAATAAAGATTATTTACATAAAGAAAATTGTACTAATTTAACAAAACGTCAGAAAGGTTAGCTAAGTGATATTAGCTTATGCCTAGATATATTAAGAATACTATTTTGATGCAGCTTAATCCCATTCTTCAGCAAATTTAAAAAAATTGTTCAGAGAAGTCTGCCCCAAACGTACTTAAATTTGCAAATTAAAAATACAGCTTTATCACACAGGTAGGCCTCAATTACAAAAGCTATACTACAAAAGAGTATGAGACTTGATATTTGTTAAGACTGTAAATAAAAAATTTATGCACAGTTATTTTTGTCAAGCTGAATTTACGTCAATAAGTGAAAACTCTGAAATATGAAAGAAGATATTGCAAAATCTATTCTACGTCACATCTTTCTACAATAGTACACATGACTTTATAAAGATTTATTGTATGTGGCCAGAAAAATACGTATATCCAAAACTCACACAGATTTGTATCTAGTAATGAAAAAAGAAGCTTCTGACATTATCCAAGAATAAACCATCATCCAAATATTAAAAATGTCCAAGATACAAATGCTTATGTAAAAACCTACATCTATAATTTGCACATACTAAAAAGTGTTTGATAAAGTCCTTAATTAAATGGTATGCAAAGTTCGATGTTCAAGACTCCTATGTAACATACCAAGGAAAAAAGCACATCTTTTTAACTTAAAAAAAAAAAAAGGAATAAAGGGCAGAAATACAAAACAGTGACTTAAGTGCTTAAGTAACAATTTCAGAAGTCTGTAAGTTAAATATGAGTTTTTGAAGACAGGCTATTTGTAGCAGTAATGCACACAAAAATGACTCATGAAAGCACTTGATAGCATGAACTAGAAAGAGAGGAGACAAAATAAGTAGATTGAGGATCCATGTACCTCAATAACAGAGAAATTTATGTTTGCTGAACTTGAGAGACAGAAAAGTTCAAGCAACAATTTATCTGCAGAAAAGTCAATTGTAGTTAATAATTTATTAATGAAGACTGTGCCAAAAATTTTTCATGCTCTATTACCTGTAGAAAATCACCACATACTTAACTATTCTTTAACATGAATACACCAACCTACAAAAACAAAAGCTGCTAAGATTAATTCAGGGTACACATCAGCTCTTTTATGGCCTTTATTAGAAAACTAAGTTCAGGAAGTATTTATGGAGTTTAATTCTCTCCAGTAAACGTAATTTAACTACATATTTGGCATCAACAAAGAACAGTAGTTAGTGAGCACAAAAAACTCTCACCCTGTCTGTTGTAAGCAGGACTAAGACATACTAGTTTTCTTTTGTCCTATTTCTTCAGATTTCCCCATGCAATTTATAGCTCTACACTGAGTCTCAGTTGCTCATCACTCCAAATCCCAGTGAATTACTATATCCTCAATGTTATACCCCTTCACAGTATCCTCAGTTCTCTATTTATTCTCCCACCAGTTCTGCAATACCCTTACCTCCATTTCACTTACCCTATGGCTGCCTCATAACTTAAGTCAACCTCCTACCTTATCTTCTACCTTTGTTTTGCCAAAGCTTCAACTAAAAAAATTTAAAAAACAACAACAAAAAAAACCAAAACCAAACAATAAAACAGCACTGGCAATGACTAGGCCACAGATGATTAGAAAATTGTCTGCCTTTCTGTAAGTGTGGGTTTCTGGTTTGGGTCTCTCTCATCCAAGCATTTATCTTCATGAATCTTGTTAGACTAACTTCTTTGGAACTACCAGGATCAGATTTCATGGAAGTTAGCCAAAAGGTTCAGAACTGACTGGAAGTACAACAGAAACTCAGGTTTTCAGAGACTCCGAACATTACATGTCATGCTTTGGCAAGATACCTCTTGTAGGATCCCTGCAACATCTGTTTATTAAGGGTGAATTATTGTTGAACCAATTGTTTCCTGTCCCCATCCCCCCCCTTTCAGAAAATTTTATTAAAATGAGTATGTGACAAATCTTTATAGCAGATAGAGTAATTTAATAATTACCTATAATGTCTGGAAATGCTAGATGAGGTAGTTTCTTTCATACTGGCAGCACCTGTGGATTCCACATCTGAGGTATTGGATGAATGTGCAGTTCCATCAGATTTCCTGATATGCAAGATAACAGGGTTGCCATGTAATGAAAATAATATTATATTAAAAACAGAGCTGACATTTCAGAAGCAAACAGATAAATGACATAGTATTATAATGTTTTACAGGGTTTGGAGGGGTTTTTGGAGGTTTTTTTGGTTTTGGTTTTTTTTTTTTTAATTTACCCAACAGTGCAGGGTAATTCCAAGGCTGGGTTCTCTATCACTGGAACTGGTTCATTATCCTAAGAAGATAGGGAAAAAAAAAAAAGAAAAAGAAAAAAAAGTACTTCAAATTAAGTTTTAATTGCTGCATCAATTTTGTTTGAGGATGAATGGGGGAATATCATGATTCAGATGAACTGGTTATATTTTTCTTCAAAAATGATAATCCAGTTAGAGGGAAAAGGGTGGGGGAGTGGCAGGGAATATCAAAAACCTTACCAGAGGAGGCGACTCTGGAGTTTTGTGAATCATTTTTCTTGTATAGGGACCAGGTGGACGACCTACTGATTTTTTTTTCCCCTTTCTTTCTATACCATTACTTAATTCCCTAGAAGAAAATTTATATTTTGTTGTGTATTATTGAAGATAGTTTTCATTGAATATATGTTTTCCTTTGACAATGAATACACAATTAGATGTGTATTGCTAAAACATTGTGCTAAATGAGGTTATTCTGGTAAATCAAAATTGTCACGTACAAAGCTACATATTTTTGCCTCTAGAACAACAAACGGACACAATATCTTTCTAGTGACATTACTGATTCCCTAACATTGAAGAGGAATGAACAAGTGTTAAATGTTGTTTATTCATACGATCACACTGGTAAAAAACATGGTACATTTACTAATGTAAGTTACAACTTCACATCATGCTTCCTATTTAGATTATTGCATGAGAGCTCAGAAACACAAGATTGTTTCCTAAATGACAGCAAAGCTGGGATATTTTCTGTTGTTCTTACTGCTAAATTTCAAGTTGGGTTTGGTTTTTTTTAGAAGGATCCTAATAGAAAGCCAATTAAATTCATTCAAAGACCTTGTTCTTACTAACAGTCCACCTTTACAGTTATTTATAAAAAACACATTCTACAATGAAAACACCTTTTTTGTAGGTACCAAAAATATACCCAAAGTAGCCCCGATTCACCACAACATTGCTCAAATGACTGGGTTATTTTACCTCACATCAGGGATTGGTTTAGATGATTTTCTGCCTTTAATTTTGAACTCATGAGAAGTTCCTTCTGGTTCTTTCTCAGCCTTTAAAGCAGCATTCGGTGGCACAGGAGGAACACGAATTCTCAAGCCAAACAAATGCTTCTTTTTCTTTATTTCTTTTCCAGACATAAACCTAGATGATTTTAAATTAATTGTTAAAATTCTGACCCCAGGGAAAGCAACTTTCAAAATAGCAATGTACATGCAAAACAAAACTATGCAAATTAGGATAGTCTAGTGGTATTTTATTCCCCTCTTACTCCTAACGCAATCCTCACTCTCAAATACAGAATGCAAAGTGGAAAGAAGATGGAAGTTAAAACAAATTTTTTCTCATTATCTGGGTTCCACTCCAACAGTTATGTAATCTTATAGTTTGAAATAGAAACAGTATTTAAAATTTAAGTGTTATCTGCAGCCAAAGTGATTATCAGATAGACTGAGCAAAGGAGACTGAAGACTGTAATCTACAACAGATTAAATAGGCAAACAACATTTAAAACAAAAAGTACCAATAACTTACATGGTCTTGTAATCATTTAATGCCTCCAGTACATGCTCATATCTTTCAGATTTTGGTGTATCTGCCAGCTGTGAAGTATTAAGAAATCATTTAACCTGTCGAATTCTTTAGTAATAGAAAGATTCTAGTTACTTTGAGTCACTGCAACTACAGGTTTGGATGTGAAGTACATTTATGAAGTATTAGCTGTGGAAACTACCTAACACCAAAGGACCTTAACCATTATCCCATATATTCTGTGATTTACATCAACAGAATTCATGCCAGGATCAAGCCCAGGCCAAAGAATTTGAGTTTCACTTGTAATAAGTGCAAGAAAAATATCTCAAAGAATTCATATACTCAAAGAACATAATACTAGCTTGCCCTCCCAAGACTGCTGAGAAGAATTCTTCTGCAGCATTATGTCTTCCCAATAACTGAGATTGGAAGTGGAAGATAACTATATTGACACAAGAACTTAGTTATTTTATTGGTGATCATTTTAACCGAAAACCTGCCGCAGGACCCAATTCCCGTTTTTGCCAACATTACTCAACATGATACAAAAACTGGAAAAGGCCCAGAAAAGTTAAGAGTGAAAAAGGGGAAGGGGGCGGGGAAGTAAATCCATTTTCATGTCCCTTTTGCTAAGACCCAGTCTAAGCTCCCCTCTTGCACCAAAGCCTGAAGCAGCTAGTCCCTATCAAGCTACCAAAACATGGAATCTTTTCTCTAAAAAATTGCATACTTATGAATTAGAGACATAAAGCAGAATAAGTATGGTGGTGACTATAAAGAAGTGGACACTACATTTATATAGTAGAATTTAGAATAAGATTATTTTTATATTTAGACAGCTATTTTTAAATTCCAGTGAAGCTAGTATATTTCCAGTTGCCATGTCAAAATGATCCAGAATTTATATCCAATTGGCTCTGCAGAAAATTTATCTTTAGTTATAGAATTCACAAAGAGTATAAGTTTCACTATTAGTATGAATACTACAGAGCAGACTGTACAACATTTGCAGCTCAAAAAAACCCCACCAACCCAACCTTCAAATACTTTCTAAAAGAATACAATTCTGACCAAACAGGACAGATAGAAATGCTCAAAAGATTAAATGTGCTAACACCTAAATAAATGAGTAAATATACTCAAAACCAACCTTTTAACATAATTTTGGGCAAGATTCACAGTCAGTCTACCTGACTACTAAAGTTCAGGGAGATATTCAAGCCATTTTAGCCAAAGAAAGTAACAACTGGTTTTATACATCTTTACCATATGCATTCAGCACAGTTCATTGCTATCCAGAGGTCTTGCAACTCTGCAGCACTTAACTACAGAAAACTGCCATATATTTATTACATCCTAAATAATAACATGCTAAAAATCACTTGCTTGGGAGGTCTGATAATTCCACCATTTACTCCTACCTTACCTATGGCTGAAAAACTTTTCCTCTTATTCAACTGAAAGCAGCTAGAGAAAGAAACCAAAGTGTCATTTCTAGTAGTGGCCTTGTTCAGGCAGTGAACAGTGGCCAGCTAAGAATATTACAAAAACCCTAAAACCATTATATTGTAGATGTTATTCTTTCTGTGACTAATTTATGTTTAATTAAGAAACCAGATTAACCAAAGTAAAATACATTTGCCTCAAATTTTTCAAGACAATTTTTCCCAGCTTAGTGAGAGACATTTAGAATCTTTTCAGAATAAAAAGTCTTGAAGACGTCCTCAACACAGCTTTTCTGCATTTATTCAAACTCTACCCCTTCAAAAACATAGTCTTCAGACTTAAAAAAAAGTAGCTTTCTTGAAGGTGTACAAATATTGATTAAGGAATTGAAAGTACCACTTAACAAAGAGGTGAGTTTCCTTATTTTGGATCTCCCAACTCCTTCCTCCCCCTTAGTTACGTGTTTATCACATAGATTGAGCGGGGATGGATTGAAAGTGGAAAGGGGGAAGAGCACAATGAGGACTGTATGTAACCTTTCAGCTTCTTCAAAATGGTATGTGTGCTCCAAGTCAATGGCAGCTAGATAGCTCCACTCTCCTCATCCACACCACGGCTGCTCTGACCAACCATTCTGACATGAAATTATGTTAAATCTAAAAGAAAGTTTTCTTTTGTGAAATAAACAATTTCCTCTATATTTCCCTCAATACCAAGAGAAGCAAAAGTCAAAATTAAACACCGCCTATCTATTTGTTAAACTGCGCAGTAAGACAGCCAGAACATTTCATTCTATGGAAAAGATGGTATGAGAATTACCACATTTTGTGCAGCTTTTTTTTTTATTTAAAGCTTGAGACTTGATATGACAGAATTACTGACTTGATATGACTTAGCTAAGAGATGCCATACATTCCAAAGTAAACCAGATGTCTATTCATAACGACACTAATTGTCATTTTTTAGTAATGCTTGAGTGTTTGCTTGTCTAAGAAACTATTGACGCTCATAGCCTAAACATATGTATTTTAAACCGTTTTCCATTATTCATGAAAAGTAGTTACTCATTTAAACCAAGAACATACATTTAATTCTCAAATTGTGTCTGCTAGTAAAAATGGATTACACATGTAAGAATTTACTGAAAAGAAGTATGAAATTAGGATGTACTCATGATCAGAATATTTCAAACCAGTTATACGCCACCTGCATTAAAAAACTTCAAAACTCTAAACAATTTTCATGCATGAGAAAAGTGCATACTCTCTTACCAGTATGCCAATTTGAATTTAGACATAAATTTTACATCCAACCTTACATGCGGAAACAAGTATTTACACTGCTCCTCTTAGTTAAATATGAAGTCAGTCTGCTTGGGGAAATGGATTTCCTTTAATGCTAAGATGACTGCCCAATAAATCAAATAGCTGGAAAAATAACTAGTATAGTAGTGAACTAAAAACAAGATGCCTTGACAAGTAGTTGAATCAGTCTAGAAAAGAATCAAAACAATCTTTAGACCTGGACATGAACTGATCATCACCCATGTTTGCAAGAGGGAGGTAAAAGGAAATGTTTGTGTACAATAATTTGTTATATGTTACACTTTAGAGACTTTGAAGATGCCTTCATATGTAATATACTCTGCATTCAGTTCTACATTTACATTTTCTGGTCTGTGCACATGAATATATCAAAGAAGTATGAGAATTATAAAATGAAAAGAAAGGAAAAAATATATATGCAACAGAATAAACAGTTGAATATAAAGAAAGTTACCATGCAAATAATAAAATAACAGATACATGGATCACTGGAGAAATTTTACAGCTCAGAATAACATACACCACAAAAAAACATTCTATTTCTGCAAGGAAATTAAATATGATCTCATTATTTGGGATTACCAGATTTTAAGGTAATAAAGGATTTAACATCCAGAATAGAACAGTTCATAGGTCACTAACTTTCAGGACATATGTATGCACTGTGAGGAAAAACAAGAACGAGTATTTCAATTACTTACCTCACCAGGATGCAATCTATCCCAGTTTTCATTAATGTAGGCCATGAGTTCAAGCTCTGAATCAAAGTATTTCTTCTTATGAATAACACTTAGGTTGTAAAGGCATAAATGTGCTATATCTACCCTAGAATTCAGAAATATTTGAATGAAAAACAGAGGAAAAAAGTTATCTTTGTCTTCCAATTACTTTTATTTGAAATAATTTAGTAGGAAAGATATTAGCACGATATAGTTAGAGGAACACAAAGCACAACTTAAAACACTCAATCCAGGGAACAACATTATGAAGTCTCCTGTCATTTCTTTTCCTCAAGATTCCTTCTGCTTTGAATCTTACTTTCATCTCTGCCTCATCTAATTGTCATGATGTTCTTTTAAATGCCAAAACTGGTCTAAACCATGGAATATTTAAGTAAGTCCAAATTCATACATGAATGTATCAATTCAAATTCATGCAAGTATTTTGATGAATTAACATTTAACAAGATAATTTCCACCGCATATTTGTTAGCACATATCCACTGAATTAGATATAATTTCTAATATGCATGTTAGTTCAAAGATTTCAAACTACAGCTAACCATTAAATCTCATCGGAAGCTATTATAAAATGTGTCAAGATGCATACGCTAGTACTCACTCCATTTGGCTTATCTAAAGGCTTCATTAGAACATCTCAGTCTTCACATACACAACAAGTGAGTAGTTGCTTGCTACTTCACTGAACAATCCCAGGAATAAATTCTGAGAGCACACAGTTGCAATATATCTCTACATTTAAAGATAAACTTTGAAGGAAAAGTTGTCCCTGTTCATACAAGCAGTAAGAATAGCTCAGAAAACAAGACAGCAAGTAGATTTCCTTTTTTGCAAGGAAAATCAAAATACTAAAAAGAAAAGCAGAGCATGTATTCAACTCACCCTTTTTTTTTTTTTTTTAAATTCATACTTACCATCTCAAGGGTAAACGTTTGAGGTATTCTGGTCCAGAACTGCAAACTGAGCAAATGAACGTATAAAACCTAAAAATATATACATATGTATATGTACATGTGTCTGGGTGGTGGGTGTCTGTACACACACACACACTCTCTTAATGTTTTAACACCCTAGTTATGAAAAAATGAAAGTTAAGCAGGCTAGAAAGCCAGCCATATGATATTTGAGAGTTCCTTTGTCCTTCACCTTCCTTTATCAACCTCCACAGTCTGTGCTGGTACCTACCAGGGCAGATACAAGGTAATTCCTCAATTTTATCCTGATACCATTTTTTCATATTCCTTGAGAAAGTCCCTCAACCTGTGACTGTATCAGTGATGGTGCTCTGTAATATCCCCACTCCACTCTCTCAAATGCAGAAACCTGTGCACCAGTGTAAGCATGCATTTAAAAGACCCATGCATTCCTGGGTCTTAACTCAGTTCCTTCATACAAACATTCCAACACAACCAACAGCTAAAAGAAAGTATAATAAATAATGAATGAGATAATACTTGATTCTCCTCCAGTTTTCTCTCTCATCTGCTCCAACTGCTCCAAGTTCCTCTTAACATGAAAACACAGACTAACACTCAACATTTTTCACTTCCTTTTGTCCCAACTCATCACATGTGAACAGAGGACGTACATAGCTCCCCTCAAACTATCTGTCCAGCTCTCTCCAGTTCCCTATACTGTTAGTACAGGCAACTACCACTGCATACACACACTGACAACCTACCTTGAAGCATGGTGCTTGTTGCATACAAGAGATTAGTCACCTACACAATGTGAACTTGAAAGCCCTTATCTAACTTATAGGCCCACGAAAGTGGTCTGCTTTAAAACTTCTAACCTCCCAATAGCCAGCACCTATAGTATAATGGACTCCCACACGAAGTGAAGTCAGTAACACTTTGAATTCAAATATCCATTGGTTACCCCACCACCCCACTCTCCTTCATTAAACTGAGATGAAGAACTGTATTTTCCTGGCACCTGAACACATGCGTTATTTCATATAATCTACATAAAACTCACACCATTTTTGGAACATACTGTTGTATTAAAGGTGCCTTAATAAAAGCTCATATGTGAGATTCCCTCCACATTTTAAATAAAGACAACCATAAAGTACAGCTTAAGTTTCTTACCTGTCACCAAAAAGCATTGGCTTTTGGAGGCACTGCACGCAAGCCTCATGAAACCACTGCTTACATTTGCAGCACTGCAACATCTTTAGATACCAGCTTCACCAACAGAAAGAAAAACAAGATGTGTTAAAGTAGTATTGAAAATTGTTCTTCATTACATTTAAATTAACTAGCAAGGGATCTTCTGACCCAAACTTATTTTCATAGTTTATAAAAGTCATCTGTACAGATATTTCCGTAAGATTTAGTTCCATAATGAATCACTACTAGAAGAGAGTGACTAAGAACAATAAAAGATAGTCTAGTAAAAGGATGAATTATATTTTTTAATTTCTTCATTTAGTAATTTCCTCTGACAACCACCTTTTAATTCTTGATAATAAGTATTCAGTAACTCCATATAAGCTCCTTCTCACACACCGGATTAGCTTCCTTGTTATTTTCCAAAGCGCAACCCAGCCGCATTAAGTCACAAACAGTTGTTCTGAGGATTCAACTACTTGAATCCTCAAAATGAACCTCATAGTTTATATCTTTTTTTTTTTCCCCTTTTCCTTTTTCAGCTTCTCCCTTGAGAAAAGGAATCATGCAAAATTGAAGGTAATGTTTGTCCAAGTCTGCAAAATTCTCAAACCAGAGCTCTGTCTGTGAATATAAACTCAAAAGCTTCGCTTCTTTGTTGGACTCTTGACTTGCCTTGACTTCAAATCTTCAATGCTATTTTAGTCATTTACTCATTCATGCAGACACCAGAGTACTTATCTCTACCTGCTTAAGAAGTCCTCTTCTTGCCTTTCTTGTAAGAAAGAACCAGCAGAGGACTCTGTAATGCCATAAGAGGAAAAAAAGTCTTTACCCTGCCAATAATTGCAATCCAGGGTATGACACTATAGTAGAATCAGACAGCTGTCTATTCCAAAAAAATTTAATGAACTAATCTCTAGATACATCCATATTTGTGACTAATAACAGAGCTGAGTTAACAACAGAAAAACACTGCCTAGAATTGCAAGATGATCAACAATCAACTCCAATCTCAACACATTAACAGCAGCAATGCAAAAAAAAAATTCTTGCTTGTTGTAGAATAGACTGTGATGTTATGTCACGGTCACATGACAATATTAGAACAAACCAAAAGATCTGATGGGAGAAGGAAAGCCATTAAAAATGTATTTCCCATGAGACATTTAAAAAAAAGATATAAATCAAAATTCCACTTTGCATTGAGTTTAATACCTACACCCAATAGAAATAGAAACTAACAAGTTCACAAGTAAAAGTCTACAGGATCAGGGCCAAAGTCTGCAGCTGCATTATGGAGAAAAGTTCTTATATATTATCTGTTTACTTACTCTCCAGGTCCTCCACAATAGCAGTAACACTGCTGGACATTGGTTTTATGACCTGCATCCCACTCAAGGTCTGTTGCATTATACGGTAATGTTTGTTTCATGACTTGCAGTGCTTTGGCATTTGGTCCTTTCTTAAGCGCACCACCTCTCTGGGCCAGAACAAATACATTAGTTTACAAAAACAATAATATATTTTTTAAACTTTCAAATCCTTTAATTTAAAAGTTAAGGAAATTTGTCTAGAATCATGTAAAGTACTTCCACGTTTATGTTTTAATACTAACATATTTGTTTAAAAATAACTTGAAAGCCAAACCTCATCTAAATATTAATTCCCAACATATAAAACTCCCATTCAGATCAAAGTTAACAAAAAAGAAATCACTGAAAAAAAATGCTTTTTTTTTTTTTTTTGTTTCAACTTCAAAAACAAAGTATGCAAGCAATATGGGATGTATTAAGAGATGTTTTTCTAGAAACACACCTTTGTTGTTGTTGCAAAAACGCACTGTCGACAGAGCCATTTATCATCTGAATCAATCACGCTGGAATCAATATTTGGTGTGTGACACAGCTGATGATAACCTGTATAAAAATGATCAACCAAAGTGTTATTATAATGGCAAAAGAAGCTTACACAGAATTAACTATATATAATTTTAATGCAACTATAAGGCATTATCCATCATTAAGTGCCAAAAATATGATCAAAAAGATTGTTAACGCATTCAAAACAGTATTTTAAATTTTCTTAGCAGAAAAAATAAACTTTACTTACAGAACAGGTGTTAGCCACTTTAACATGGATTATCATTATTCACTGAGCTTTTAATAGCCACTAAGGGCTATAAAATTTAAGATCAGTTGAGCAGTCAGTCAGAGCCAGGCAAATATCCTCCTTCATAAAACAAATCAAAAAATCTTTTAAAATACATTAAATAGAAAAAAAAATCTAGTTACCTTGCCCACATTTATCACATATAACCATTTCATTCGGTGCTTCTGAATACTCTTCCTGACATATTGTACAGACCATTTCCCCACTTTCAGTGGCTCCTAAACAAAGATGAAAGTGTGATTTTTTTTTTCAGATTACATCTGCAGTTGGAACGGTTACCACATGTATGACTTTTTTCGTAATTTCTGTTACAGATCCATGCATTGTAGAAACATTTTTACAGAGCCTAACTTCTTAACAAAAATAAATTCAGACATTTTGTACAGACTGTATGTGTCACAAATATTTATATCACTTATCATAGGCTAACAGATATTTATAGGCCATATATTGCCTATTTACTATGCAGTCCATTGTTCCTTAATATCAACAGTATGTAAATGCAGGCTAAAAAATAGGTATAAACAAAACCTATCTGGACAACTGATAGATATGCTTCTTTTCCTGTAAATATATGCACAATTTGGTGCATATGTTTTTGACAGATCTGCCAAGGTGCTTTAATATCAAACTCCAACACTCTTAGGAAACATGTTATTACTTCTTATACATATCTGCAAGCATACAAAAAGCACACAGTTAAAAAAAGCTAGCTTGCAAACTGGAAACAAAACTACATCTTGCTCCAATTATACCATGTATCAGTCTAAAAATCTGGATTAAAATACAAGTTTCTTAATCTACGTGTTGTCATACTCATGCATTAAAGTTTGATAGTTACGATAAATGAATCAAAGATCATAACTAGTACTATACAGAAGCAGAACAGCAGTATCTTAAAAGCTTCTCAGAAATAAAGCCATTGATTTTTTGCTGTTATGAATACAAAGCTTCTCATGTTAACAGGTGAAGTGCTTAGTTTAAACATCAAAAATCAGCGACAGCCAGATCAGATTTCCATTGCCTTTATACGATGAGGAAATCAGATTTTCAGAAGACGTTGTCACTGAAATTGTCATCCATGCTTCATTAGCATTAGATTATCAAAATACTAGCTACTCCCCAAACATCTGGGAAAAAAAAAAGTCAAAGCTAATATACAATAGATGTCTCACTTGATAATTGCACATTTCTTTATATCACATGAATACTCCAAAATCTGTAATGGTTTCTTATGTACAACAGTTATGGTGTTACTTTTAAATGTGAAAACTCCACTCAAATCTAGGATTTTTCCAGTCTTTGGTTTCTTTCCACGTCATGTTGTTTCAACTGAAAACAATAGGAGGACATAAACTCGGTGTAAATTAGGGCCTGGAGTTTTCTGTTAAGACAGAGTATTATACTCTATCCCTATCCAAATAAACTCAAATGGGATTATTTTTAGAAGTGTTCTCCCCTCCCTGCACATAGTTACATGAAAACAACAAAAAAAACAAAAAACAAAAAAGTAACTGCAAAGATAGAGAGTTGTTTGAAATTTTTTTCTCTTTTTCCAATTTGCCTAATTCATGATCCTGGGTCACATTAAACTATATCACTCTTTAGGATGCAAGAATGTAATAATTTATTTTAACAGATATAGTAATCTAAACAAACAAAATACCAAAAATACCAAACAATGACTACTTCACTGAAGTTCTTGCCTGTTTGTATGTCCTTCCAGAGAACCCAGGATTTGGAACTGTCTTCAAATATAATGAAGCAGTTCTGTTTCAGTTTGTTTATCTGAAAAACAAAAATCCAGTGGAAGCCAGAGTAAAAAGACTAAACAGAAGAATGTATTTAATATTGAGACAATAATACTGTAATATTTAACCAACAGATGATACTGTAAGACTCCAGTGAAGTTAAAAAATTGTTTACCTTTTTGATAGTTCCAAGATAAAACAAGCCATCTGACCATCTAGCTAGGACATCCTGACCTTCTTCAAATTTACACAGTGGCTTTTTGGCTTTCTGTCCATCACGTAATGACAGCTTGGTCAGAGATGCTGAGGTCTTATGGCTTCGACGTAAAGGAGACCGCTTATGGACCAGTGAATTACCCACCGCTGTAGAGTCTCTAAAGAAAGGGAAGCAAGGGAAAAGGTAATCAAAATTTGGTTAAAGTAAGAAACCATATATTTTAAATATTAATATGACTCTCAGCTAGAACTCAATTAGCTAACTTTAGGTAATTAAAAACCTGGTTATGTTTTCAGACTCTACACACCTTTAGTAGCAGTGCCTCTGCTACTGTAAGAGTCCACAAAATTTGAAAGAGGCAAGTTTATATAAAGAAAAAAATCTTCTATGAAATTAGCTAGTGTAAATGAGAATAAGGAGACACAAACTTTCCAGCTCAGAGACTCTTTATAAAGTCACCAGAAGCATCAAAGAATGCATAAAAAACATTCAATACAGGATTACTTATGACTAAAACATTAGTCACTCGAGTTGCTGACAGTTTTCTAAAATTTCAAGGTAGCTAAAAAGCCAATTCTAACTACATTACCTCGGCAGGGAGGGTAGTAGTTGACAATTAATGTGGTATTCGGCAGTTAGTTACTTAGAATTAAAATAAAAATAAAATAAAATTAAAATAAAAAAGAAACAAACCAGGTTGAGCACTATGCTAACTCAAGGTCTATACTAACTCAGGTACTTCCAACACAGCATCATGCTTTGCAACTAAGCATAGCTGTAGAGGTTTCCAGCAAAAGAATTTCTACATGTTAAATTTCTAGTGTAAAGTAAGTTTCCTCTCTGTTAGAATCAGAGAGGAAAAACAAAAGATCTTGCAACCTTTCTTCACACATTAAACTCAAAATTATAAATTCCTTGAATCAGTAATATTTTTTTCCTCACACAATTCCATAATATATAGCCTATTTATATATAAGTGTCAATATGCTTTTATGTCAGACTAGCTATCAAACACTAGACTCCAAGAGTAAGATATAGAAAATTCTAAAATAAGACCAGATGATTCACAAGGAAGAATCTTCTTAAGTAATAGGCAGAATTTGAGACTATAAAACAAAGTTAGCATTCCTATATCCAAATGTATTTTCTCTTTAGAAACTAAATGTATGTATAACTATGACAAACACAAGGGACAGATCAGGGAGTTAAACAGGATAGAGTCAATTGAAAGAGCAAAGTTTCAGCTCATTCAAGATAGCTTTGGTGTATTATCAGCACCAGAAACATTTTAGTTAAATCACAAAGCACCAACAAAACCAGTAAATAAATCAGTGTCCTATATAGTTTCATGAGAATTGCTATTCAGATGTCAGAGAAGTTACTCTGAAGTTTCAAAGAGAAGGGAATCCCTTCTCCCTAAAAAGTTTACTATTTACATTCAATATGAAAATTAAACTGGAATTATAATGGCTTAAAACATCAAAAGTATGCAAAAAAATGCAAAAGTTAATATTCCAGAGAGCAATCAACAGGGTTTTGCATTAAACACTTTAAACCAAGAAGGTTAGACACAAGAAAATTAGACAGCTGTTTTAAGCATATTTATAATCAGTGTAAGCCTAAACAATGATATGACAGTAAAAGCAGCCATAATGGGCCAGATGAGTGTTCCACCTAGCCCAATAACTCTGGCACCCTCATGCACAACTGGGTCACCAGTTTAAGTCCTGCCTGATCCCAAATACAAAAATATTCAGACAGGTGACTAGGGAAGACCAGAGGAGCAGGGTTAAAAAAACCCCAACCAACCAACCAAACAAAAAACTTAGAACAGCACTCCTCTCCCAGATATTCTCTAGGTCTCTTACGGAGTGTGGATCGAAATATCTCAAGCAGCAATATCTTCACTTTTTTTTTTCTTTTTCAGTCCTTAATGGAATTTTCTTCTGCAAGTTTTCCTACATGTTTTGCTGAACCTGTAAAGCAGCACTTCTTTTTACTTGTTTCACAGCTGGTACCTTGTCACTACATTTGACACCTTTCATCACTGCATCAGAAAAATAAACTGTCATTTTTCCATCTTCTCCATCTTCTTTCCATTCTTTGTGCCCCAGTAATAATGTTCAGACCCACCCAGCCATATTTCCCCCTACCAATGCTGCTGCTTCTCACGTGAAAGCTGTTTAAAGTTACCACTGCTTTTCCCCAGTTCTACTCTAACCTCTGATAAATGGGACAGGATGCATACAGCATTCGAAATAAGTTTACAATGACAGGGTAATAGCATGGCATCCCAGGCCATTTTTCATTCTTTGCTCCTTTCCAACTAGTAACATTTGTAGCCTTTCCCCCCTCTCCCCCCCACAATCCAGCGTTGAGTTAAAAATGTCAAAGAATTATTAGAAACTGCAGGTTCTCATTCTAACTGCTCCCAGACTATTGTTTCTCTTCCCACTGTGCGTTAATTGCTTCTGTTTGCACCAGATTTCATTTGCCACTTCATTAGCCAGTCACTCAGTAGCTTGAAGTCCTTCTACACTCTCTACATTATTCTGAATAACCTCATACCCTTGGATTATTTCATCATTTAACCTTACCATCTTTTGTACATCACTGCAAGATTTTGCCCCTTATCTTGTACAGTAGCTTAAATTTTTGCAAGGGCCTCTGAAGCAGGACCGCAGCCCTTACTTAGCACTTGGTGCAACCCATGTTTGTTCTACTCTCTCCTTTGTATCTGTACAACCATTTACACAGCCAAGTATCAAAGAGGCTCAGAAACAAATGTGTCTGAAGTCAGCCAGGCATGAGAGCAAAAAAAGGTTTACCTCCATCAGTTCCCCAAACCTTTCTGACTACGCACAGGTCCAACTTAGCACAAAGCAAGCAATGTTCAAAGTCTAGGCAAGGCTTGATCAAAGCAGCCTAGAAACAGTTGTGAAACTATAACTTGGTCTCAGCCAATAATTCTTTCCCTAGAAAGGGCTCATCATTACAAAGTATTATAGTATTTAGATACTTCAAATTACATCTATGAATTTGATTTACCATATTAAACGGTTTAATAAGTTGCCATGTGTAGTTTGAAGCACTTAAATTCATTAGTGCACCTTGAAACTGTTTTACAAGTGTTTTGATGGGACTACTCGCTTCTGGAGGTTCAAAGATTTTCTTTCCAGCTTTTTATCTGGTTTGATTTAAGCGACTAGAGAAAGCAGTTAAAAAGCAGGAACGTTGCTCCTCTTTTCCAGTACTTGAAAAAAGGTGCGAAAGATCTTGCACAGAATAAGCAAAAAGACACAATCAATTAATTTATTATACACAATCTAGTACAGATTTACATTTAAAAATCAACAACTATTTTTGAGTTTTATATTTTAAAAAGTCTTCAAAAGGATGAGACTTTCTTTTAAAGTCTCATGGGACAGCAGTTTGTCCCATAACTCCATTCAAATTCTAACAAAAATGTGTTGTGCATCATTTTCTGGCACAAAGCACTTAAATGAGTCTATACATTGACTTACACAACAGCCTAAATTCACAATAGCTACTTCAGACACTGAAGGATCTTGACACACAGTAAAGGTCTGAGCCAATAAAGCAGACACTTCTCCATTGTCCACATTGCTCTCCGTGGGAGACAGCACTGCTGAAGTGATGACTAAACAGCTCACGAAGTAGCTCCTGCTGTGGCAGTTTATGGTTTATCTAACACAGACTGAAAATAGGGTTAGTTATCACAATAGGCTGACACTAGCTTAACAGTTGCTTTCCACATGGATAAGAAGTTCCTCTTGAGGGAAACATTCCCTCAATGTTTTTGATGGAGATTAAGTGGGAAGAGCTACTGTTTTAACAAGACGACTTTAATTAGGAAGCCATAAGTTACTTAAAGTAGGTGTCTCTGAAGTGCCTTCTAGAAATATGGCACATATCACAAGAAATTTAGTGCAGACTGTAGTGGAGTACCAAGAAGCCACATGTACCATTAAAATAAAATTTCTGTTGGAAGTGAAAATGCAAACTGAGGTTAACTTCTTGCTTGCCAATTTTGAAATTGAAGGTTCCACATTTTCCAGAAACTTGCTTTCAAGTCTTCCATGAAGTCAGCTCCATAGCACCTTCCTACTATACCATTCATAGTTACTAACAAAATTAGTAACCTTTAAGTAACAATTTCCCCACCATCTTAAAAACTTATTTCCAAGAACTTCTCCTTGCAAAATATCCAACAGATGTCTTAAGTTTTTCTGAAAAACTTACCCAATACAAAAATCTACTTTATCTCATTTAACTTGCACAGCTAAGCTACACTGCATGTCATACAGCATGTCCAACCTACCTTGGCTTTACATCTTTTACTCAATACTGGATATGTTGTTGCTGTATTCTTAGTCAAGCACTTAAAATGTAAAGAAAGTACTTATGTGCCCATACAACCTTTCAGAAGTTAGTGGGGGAAGACAGTAAAACGTCTCTGCATGTTGAAATACACTTCAAAATAGAAGTGCACTTTTACCATTTCTTGAGAAGTTAATCTCATGAACTAGTGAAAATGCTCATTGATTTTTCACCTTGGGGTCTAGGTCATAAACATAGTTATTCAAGCAAGACAGGCAGAAGACCTTCTATTTATCTACTTCATGAATTAATTTATAATAAGCTTCAGCAGCAGGAGATAGCCTGTCATCCTTTGTCAACAGGAATGGCAAACTCCCTCGGAAGGTAAGCTACCTAAATCAGTCTGATCTGTGAACCATGACAACTCGCTATGCATAGCATTGTATTTATCCAAATTAGATTTGTTAGTTTTGACTGGTTTGTAACTCTTTCTAACCTCTTTATTAGAGGTTAGGAAACTTCAATGTCCATTTGATGCCTGTGACTTCTGTAACTCCACAGCAATGCTACAAAGGAAGAAGCAAAAAAGTTAGGGGAAAAGATGTGAAGAGGCTGGAGAATTAAAAAGGCTGAGCACTCTCCCTTTTGTTTCCAAGTGTCTTTTTCCTCAGCAACAGTGCCAGGCTAAGGTCATTCATACTCCTGTACTCCTTCTGTTGTAACAACTGCTGTGAAACAACTCCTGTTAAGAAAAACTCCCTTGACAGAGTTATTTTTTCAGCCATCTCAGTTCACTGCTTTGTTTCACAGAATGGT